CCCCGGGTGAAGGCTTCGTCCACTTCAGGTGGGGGTTGAGGAAGAGGAGTCTATATGGGCATCTGGAGCTTTTAGGTGGGGAGGGCAGTAGTGGGGGTGGCATTACCTTATAAGGAGAGGAATACAGAAAAGGAGCCAGGCCAGCTTCCTGCTTTGGCTACTACCGATTGGTCCCGTTACTAACACTGTCTAAAAACCAGGGGGAGGGGGGGATGCCAGGTGGGCATCCTACCTGGGCAGACGCCAGTCAGACCGAGACATGAGGCTGCTTGTTTTTCAGAAGAGGACTTCTGAATTCTCTGGCTGGACTAACCAGACCTTCTGGTTTCCATAGGCTGGAGTTGGGAAACACTAGAGCCTATACCCACTGCACAACCTAGGGAACTAATAGTATAAGGAATATGAGAAGTGATAATAAGTCACAAGTACCAGGGACTATTGTGGGGGCCTAAGTGTAACAAAGACTTCGTAGCATGGGCAGGCAAAGGCACCACATTGAGACTCCTCACGCGGGAAATCTGAGATTTTGAATTTGGGTTTCTACATCTGAAAGGCTGATTAATCCCCCCCGCCCCCCGGTCGTCAAACACCGCCTTTTGCCACGACTCTTCACCTTGGCTTCGAGTCCTCGGTATCCGTTCCAGAGCCTTGATTTCCCACGGCACGTGGTGACTTCTTCCCTCCGGCAGGGATTGACTGTGATCCCACACGGCCGCTCCACCTCCCTGTTTTGTTAGTTTGTTGACAAATATTTGTCGTGTGACAACCCGTTCTGTGCATATTCAGGGCCGTCAAAGACTCTGGTTGGGGACACACGTTTCCTAAAGCAACTTGCAAATGTTATGGTAGAGGGGGAAAGAGCCAGGCCGTGCCACCTGTCCGATCTGAGCTCAAACCCTGCCTCTGTCATGTACAGGCTAGGGGACTGTGGGCAAGGTCACCGGTCGTCTCAGGGTCCCAGGTGCCTCCCTTGCACAGTGGCGGTAATAGTACCTCCCGTGTTCATAAGGATCAGAAATGAGTGCGAAAGAAGCCGGGCACCCAGGAGGCATTAACAAAGTATTCCGTCATCACAATTATCATCATACAGGATGCCCTGATGTTGCACTACAATGATCACTGAGGGGCTACGGCATGCGGACACCTTCAGGATGTAGGTGGGGCTCACCCCAGAAAGGTCTTCTCCGGTCAGCGTTGGATTGGGACCCTGAGTCAACGAGTCTAGCCACAAGGAAAAGAAAGTGTGTCCCCTCTAAGAGAAACAGCTGGAAGGCGCGCGCACCCAGCTCCAGGGGGAGGGCAGCGTAGTGGGATGGCCCGACTAGAGACTCTGTGTGGGCAGTAATGATCAAAGGCATTCAGTTAGCGTCTGTTGCGTGCCTCTCACGTTCCACCTGCTCTGCTACTTGCTAAAGGCTGCAGAAGGTCCGGTTCTGCCTCTCAGGCAGCTCCGTGTCAAACCGAAAGCCAGAAGAGCGTGTGGAAAGCACCGTGAGAGAGGCCACCTGGGCACTAAGTGAGCCCGAGGCAGGGCCGCCCGGCGGCAGGGTGGGTGGTGCCGGGAGATGCTCCGTACACGCCCCCCTTGTCCCCACCTCTGGGGCTGTCTGTGTTGAATGCGCAGGGGGTAGGCTGTTCGCCGCCGGGAGGAGCTGAAACACCTGCCCCCGCCAGGCCTCACCGGTCTTCCTTTCTCTCCCAAGACTCTCTTCAGGGGGAGAGTCCCCATCCTACCTCGTCATGTCTCGCCGAAGCCAGCGCCTCACGCGCTACCCCCAGGGCGATGATGACGGCGGCAGCAGCAGTGGAGGGAGTTCGGTGATGGGGAGCCAGAGCACCCTGTTTAAAGACAGCCCTCTCAGGTAGGAGACTGCCGTCTCACCCCTGCCCTCCACCCCGCCCCGGCCACCCGCGGATAGCGCTGACCTGCTGAGCAGAGGGCTTGGGCAGGTCGCTGCACAGCCTTGTCCTGTCGCCACCTGACTGGGCAGAGATCGGGTGCCCGTATCCAGCCGAGGGGGAGCGTTCGCACCCTTGAGGATGCGAGGCCCCAGCCCTGCTGTCTCTTCTCCCCCTATTGTAAGCCAGGCTGCTGCCCTCTCGGTCAGAGAACAGGAAGTGGGGAGAGGCAGCTTCGAGAATAAGCCAGGCCAGAAACCCCGCCAGTGCGGGCTGGGTTCACAGGAGCCCTCTCTGCTCTGGACGGATGTGCCCGTCTGACCATCCTCCCCAGACCCAGGAGTGCCTTCTGCAGGGCTTCAGCGGGGCCCGCAGAGGCAGCCCAGGAGAGGTCCCGGTCCGAGGAGCATGGCAAATGAGCTACAGCAGGCGCCAGCCTCATCCTGCCCCGCTTGCAGATATGAGGCCCAGATAACCGCTCACGAGGCTTTGGCTAGCCCTGGGAGGCCAGGTCGAGTTGGTCTGGGATTTCAGTGGGTGGTTGAAATTGCTACTCTCTTAGAAGCATGGCGGCGGGGGGTGGGGGACAAAAAACTTTGGCATTGAAGTTAGAGACCTGGATTTGAATCCTGCCTTCATCACTCACTGCTGGTGGGATCTGGAGATAACGGGGGCAGCGACTGCACCTGTGGTTAGCGCAGTCGGCAGCTGGGAGCTGTCAGTTGCCTGGCAACAAGGCTGACCCACTCACCAGAGGCGGGCAGAGCGGCTCCCTTTCCTGTTCCCGGATGGGCTCACCTGCCGGCTCCCCTCCCACAGGACCTTGAAGAGGAAGTCCGGCAACATGAAGCGCCTCTCCCCAGCGCCGCAGCTGGGCCCCTCCTCCGACACGCACACGTCCTACTACAGCGAGTCGGTGGTCAGGGAGTCCTACTTTGGCAGCCCCCGGGCCGCCTCCCTTGCCAGGAGCTCCATCCTCGACGACCAGCTGCATAGCGACCCCTACTGGGGTGAGTGTCTGAAACCTGCCTCCCGAGGCTTTGCTTCCTCTGGAAATTTAAGGTCCAAACTCTCCCAGTGGTTTCCCTAATCCCCCCCACCCGGGCAGGAAGGGGCTCCCGTCCTCAGAAGCCCTCGGAAGAGGAGCCACAGGCCACTTCAGACAACGAGGTGGCCACGATGCTGCTCCAGGCCCGGAGACCCCTTCCCCCCCCCCCCATGGACAGGCTCAGGAGGAAGCTCAGGGCAGCTCCATCTGTCCGTCAGAAACGCTCCTCAAGGTGTCCCCATGAGGCCCTCCGGGATAGCCTCCTGCCCCAGGAGAACCCCGAGTTCTTCCCTCCTCAGGTGAGGATCTGCGGGTGAGGAGGAGGAGAGGGACGGGCGGCACCGAAAGCAGCAAACTCAACGGGCTCTCTGAGAACAAGGGCTCCGAGGACTTCCTGGGGTCCTCCTCAGGTTACTCTTCAGAGGATGACTATGCAGGTGGGTGACGCCTCAGGGATACGCTCCAGCAGGTTCTGGGGCTGCTGGGGGAGGTGACGGGAAGCCCGGGGAAGGTGCCCGCCTGCCAGCCTGAGAGAGCGTGGTGTCTGGCAGGCCCCTGCGCAGACCAGCTGGGCACCCCCTGGTCATGCCACCGTGGCACCCTGAACCCAGGCCTGGGGCGGCCCCTGACATACTGTGACTGCCCTGTCCCCGTCAGTCGGAGCAGCCTATGGTCGACTCCGTTGTGTCTGCCTTAACGGGGCGCTTCACACGTAGGAGCTGCTTGACCCCTTTGGTCTAGCTCCGAACGATGGATCGAAGGATTGCTGGTGAGGAGAGGGGTGCAGACAGTAAGCTCAAGGGAAATAAAATGTCAGAAACCTCCCGTTGCGTTCCTTTGACAGACCTTTACTGACCTGCTAGGTGCCAGGCCTGGGTGACGCTCTGGGGATGCGAAGGAGAATGACACGTGGTCTCAGCTCACAGTCTAAAGGAGAAGATAAATAATAGGCAGTCTCCCTGTCTCTGGGCTCTTAAAAGGGAGGACAGACTGAGCCGTGGCCTCTCTGTCCCTGCAGGATACTCGGAGACTGACCACCGTGGTTCGGGTTCACGGTTAAGGAACGCAGCCTCTTGGGCAGCCTCTTTTTTCTGGATGGTGGTCACTTCTCCAGGTGGGTGCTGGCTACTCTGTGCACGGCTATTTCCATTCTCTACAGCAGTCCCTTCTTCCCCTTCTCCCTGTGGTTGGGCATCCCACCGAGAGACCATAGGACGAGCAGGGAGAGCTCGTCCTAGAATAAGCCACTGGAAACCAGGAGCCAACACTCTAACACTCCCACTCGGAAGGGCAGGAGCAGCTGTGGAGCAGGATGGAGAAAGTTGGCAGAGTAGGCAGGTGGGATTCGAGGACAGGTGCACCGGCAGGTCAGCATTGGGGGTAGCGGCAGGGAGGGCTGCAGGTGGAGACAGTAATGCTCTGAAACCACAAGCTGCAGGCCGCTGGCTGAGGGTGACACTCAGGCCTTGACGGTCCCTCTTCCAGGCCGGCTGTTTGGACTCCTCTACTGGTGGGTTGGCACCACCTGGTATCGCCTGACAACAGCTGCCTCCCTCCTCGATGTCTTCGTTTTAACCAGGTGAGCGAGACTCCCACCTTGACAATGACTCAGAAAGCCCTGGGACACAAGGGACCAGTAAGGCTTCTAAACCTGTATATGTCCTTTCTGTGAAGGTTTCTTTTTCTCGAGTTTACGTGTGTTTTTAATCAGTGAGCATGGAGTAGACTATCCAGAGCCCCTCTCTGCCTGACAGATAATGGGATCGAGTCAGGTGTTGCCTTCCAAACCAGTAGCCTTTCAGGGAGAATTCTGAAATTATGGGTTCTTGTTATTTGGCTACTTCCTGCTAGATGCCAGCCCCCATCCAGCCACGTCTGAGTCTGACAGCCTGGTCTTCCTCTGGCTGGTCAGGTTTCAGGCTCTGGCCCAACAAGTGGTGTTTCCGAGGAAAGTTCAGCTTTCCTCCTGGCCCTGGGGCAGTCTAGAACCCAGTGTTCTCTGCTGGGTGTTCAGAAGCCAGGGATAGGCGCTGCGTGATGCTGTGGGTTGATTTTCTAAGTCCCTGACCCAGCAGAGCCGGGAAAGAAGACTGAGCCAAGAGGTCAAGGTCCTCTGGACGTAATCCTGGCTGGATGATTGGCTGAGGATTATGCTGAGAAGAGGGCCAAGGGTGGATCCGTGTCACCAAAAGAAGGTTCCATATTTTTCTACAAGAAAATATTGTTGGGGCACCTGAGTGGCTCAGTCGGTTAAGTGTCCAACTTCGGCTCAGGTCATGATCTCACAGTCCATGAGTTCGAGCCCCGCGTCGGGCTCTGTGCTGACAGCTCAGAGCTTGGAGCCTGCTTCGGATTCTGTGTCTCCCTCTCTCTCTGCCCATACCCAGCTCATACTCTGTCTCTCAAAAAAAATGAATAAATGTTAAAAAAAAAATTTTTTTTAAGGAAAATATTGTTTAAGGAGTTCTGTATTTTTTTCTAGAATTGCTTGCTTAGAGGACTTGTTCGTATGAAAATTTCAGGTTTTACAAAGACCCCGTGTTTTTTTTTTTTTTTTTTTAATCACATCAATGAAATTCAGAGTCAGCATTGTCCCCATTATTCCAAGACTTGCAGGCAAAGCTCTAAAAGTCTCCAGTCCAGCCCTGGCAAGATGAGATGCTCCAGGGCATCCCCTTCCCAACTCTAGTTTGGCACTCAGGGAAAGCCTCTGCAGACTCCCAGCAGGGATATAGAGCCCTGGATGCTCTCTTGACACCTCTTCCTCCCCTGCTGTCCCCTCCTGTGGCCCAGGCGCTTCTCATCCGTGAAGACATTCCTGTGGTTCCTCTTGCTGCTGCTGCTTCTGACCGGCCTGACCTATGGTAAGCTTGCCCGGTGTTGCAGGGCAGGGGTAGGACGAGCATGCCAGGCCGAAATGGAGCTGGTGAGCCAGAGGGGCAGGGCAGTGTGGGTGGGGGGCTGGCGCTGAGCGGACACGCAAAAACCAGGGGGATGGTGATCGCCTACAGGCAACGGAAGGAGGCAGGATGAGTGGAGTCAGACTGAGCCTGGGCAGCTCAGTCCCAAGCTCTCGGCCACTCCTATCTGGCCCTCCCGGCTCCTCGTGGACCTGTGTGGCATTTCTAGGGTGTCCAGTGGGTGAGAAGGGATATGCCCCAATCCGTTGATCTTGTGTTCTGTTTGGGTGGCCGCACTTGACTGCCTGGCATGTCAATAGAGCATCCTCGGGGACATCTGAGTCAGAACATGCCCTAGTACAGGAGTATTGGGGTAAAAAGCAGGGATCTTGACAGGGATCTTGTTGTTAGTAGTCATTTTCCCTGCATTCCAAAGCAGGGTGTAGTCTGAGTGAGTGAATTCTTGTTATGACATCAAGTTCAATCTTTAAGATTGAAACAATGAAGTTGTAAAGAGAAGTCTGCCTTTTTGTACTAAAATATTTCATTTAAAAAATTTTTTTTATTTATTTGAGATAGAAAGCATGAGTTGGGGAGGGGCAGAGAGGAGGGGGTGGGGGAAGAGAATCCCAAATAGTCTCTGCACTGTCAGCACAGAGCCTTACAAGATGCTTGGTGGTGTTCCATTCTCTATCTTAGGACTTTCACATGTTCTGCATAGTTGTAATCATTATTTCTATATATTGTGTTCAGCTTCTAATCTGACAGTGTTGCGGTCTCACGATTCCACGTGAGTTGCCTTCATGGCCCCCAGGCTCCATTTTAATTATTGTACCAATTTATAATTAACTTATAAAGACCACACTTTACCTTTTTTTAGAGCTGGTTTTATAGGTTTAGCATCTACTCAACTAGTATTTATTTTATTTAACAGCCAGGTAGAAAATCTTTCCAAGTGTGGACTTCCTTTTTGTTTGCTGTTACAAGAACAGCTTGTTCACATCCAGTGGAAACTGGGCATCGCCCTTGAAGTAATAATGACCCTTTACGATCATACAGTGCTTTGTTCAGGAGTTACTCTGTTAACTTGAGCTTCACCGTGGCCTCATAGGGTTGATGGGGCCGATGTGTGTGGTGGGCCTGAAAGGCCGGCAGAGTGGGCTCCTCAGGGAGTGCATTAAGGGAGGTGTGTCCAGAGGGTCTGATGGAAAGCCTTGTGGGAGTGTGCTTCCGGTTGTACCTGCTCACGGCCAATGATTGAGTGGCAAGTGTGGTCTCCCTGGGATGGAGACCCACTGGCTGATCCGGCTCGCCAGGTGCCCTCATCCCCCACCCCACACGCGTAAGCTCAGGAGTAAACACATCACAAGCAGATGGCCCCTGAAGCAAGATGCAGGCGTCTTTGTGGCTGCAATCTTGTGTTGTCTTGGGTCAAAAGCACCTTCTCTTAGCAGGTGTCTCCTGTTTCAGGGATTCTCAACCATGGCAGCTCATGAGAGTTATCTGGGGAGCTTTTAAGACTCACCTATAGAGGGATACTCCAGACCAGTGAATTCATTTCCTTGAGAGTGGGGCCAGATATTGGGTATTTTTAAGCTTCCTGGGTGATCTTCTTTTTTTTTTTTTTTTAATGTTTATTTTTGAGAGAGAGAGTGAGACCCTAGACAGAGCACGAAAGGGGGAGGGCAGAGAGAGAGGGAGACACAGAATCTGAAGCAGGCTCCGGGCTCCGAGCTGTCAGCACAGAGCCTGATGCGGGGCTCAAACCTATGAACCACGAGATCATGACCTGAGCCGAAGTCAGACGCTTAAGTGACTGAGCCACTCAGGTGCCCAAAGAGCTTCCTGGGTGATCTTGCCGGACAGTCTTGGCTGAGAGCCACCATCAGGTCCTCTGGTTGTACCTCTGGATCATCCCTAGCTTTATTAGAGCTATGTTCTCTGAGTTTTGCCATTTACAGAAAGATGGGGATTCCTGAGGAGTGTGAGAAAGCATATACTCTGGGACCGTCAGGTGGAAGTTGCTGCCTCAGAGAATGATGGGAACCTCCATCCCTCGTACCGCCTTCCAGCAGCAGCCCAGCTCGCAGAATGGGACAGGCTGCTAACAACCCATGTTGATTAGGCCGCCGTCTTCAGCAGCGTGTGCCTTCTGGCTTATGGCCACGGGCCTGGATAACCCCCTCTCTTCTGTGTACAGGTGCCTGGTATTTCTACCCCTATGGGCTGCAGACCTTCCACCCTGCGATGGTTTCCTGGTGGGCAGCGAAGGGCGGCAGCAGGCAGCATGACGTGTGGGAGTCCAGAGACTTCCAGGTGAGTAGCTTAGGGTCACGGGTCCTCACCTTGCCTCTATTTGCAGTTGATTTCTCTGCCCTTATAGCTTCCGTAGGCGGTATCCTAGCTGGTAGACTGCCTTGTCCCCTGTCTCTGCTGTTTGGGGTACAGACACTGGGAGAGCAGTTTGGGCTTAAATAGGACTCCAAATTGTCCCAAATCAGTTGCCATCTTAAGCACACACAAAAACAAAACAAAACAAAAACAGAAGGAAAAGGAATCAGACAAATCGTTTCAGCTACTTTGTTCCTTCTCTATAGTTTCATAAATATTTCTTCAGCATCTTCTAAGAGTAAGGCGATGGGCTGGTCAGTTACCGATTACCACAAACAGATCACCCCTAAAATCAGTGCCTCAAAGCTGCAAGCATTCGATTGGCTCACGAGCCCGTTGGTGCCCTGGGTGGCTCTTTTGGTCTAAGCAGGGACAGGCTGCTGGGTCAGCAGGGGCAGGCTGGGTGCCACACGTGCTCTTCTCGTCCAGCAGGCGAGCCCCGCCTCGTTCTCTTAGCAGACGACCATGGTGCCACAAGAGCAAAATCAGGCCTCGATTCAAAACTAGCACACTGTCCCTTCCTCCACGTTCCAGGCCGAAGTAAATCTCCGAGCCAGTCTAGACTCAAAGAGGGGGGAATAGGGGCGCCTGGGTGGCTCCGTCGGTTGAGCGTCCGACTTCGGCTCAGGTCACGATCTCGCGGTTCTTGAGTGCGAGCCCCGCGTCGGGCTCTGTGCTGACGGCTCGGATCCTGGAGCCTGCTTCGGATTCTGTGTCTCCTTCTCTCTCTGCCTCTCCCTCACTCATGCTCTGTCTCTCAAAAATAAATAAAAACATTTAAAAAGGGGGCGGGGTAGACACCACCTCTTGATATAGCACATGCGAGGCCACACTGCAGAGGGTACAAATACAGGGAGGACGGGAGGACAAGAGCCTTGTCTGCACTCTGCCCGAGGCTGCCCAGGCTGTGTCCTCAAGGAGCCTGCAGTGTGGCGTGGGAGGTGACAGGGCACACATAACCAGAATGTGTGCATACATGTCATGAAGTCACCAGTGAAAAGCTTTTCATTCTTTTTCCCCTAATGACATCTGAATTTTGCTTGTATCTTGCTGAATTTAACTGGGGAACACATTTTTAACCATTTATTTTGGCGAATATTACCTTCCCGACTGCCATGTTATCACATAATGACCTATTCTGGCATTATAACTTTCCCTTTTGGAATCGTTAGTAAGGATGTTAAGTGTAGTTCAATTTCAGGACTACCTTTTCTGTGAGAAGGAGGAGGTAAAGAACGAACACACCTATGTCGTACTTGCTTACGTTTGCATAAAGACACTAATAAAAATAGTTGCCTGGCGTGGGAGCCGGTGGTGGCTGAGGGCCCAGGTGGATGGGACACAGGTTAGGAGAGGACTTGTCACTCTTTGCTCTTCCTGTCCTGCAGATGTACTGCCTATGTTAAAACATTTAAAAATCAGAAGCAACTTCTGCCCTCAGGAGGCGGCCCCGGTCTTTAATTGACAGTTGAGAGACTATAATTTCTCTTGGCAAAGATTTTTGTTTTTAAGCCAACAAGGTTTTCAAAATCCATGGCATGCTATCAGGTGCCACCGTCAAGTCCAAAGGACTTATTCTACCTACTCTGTGGGCCGTCCAATTAGAAGAAAGAGAGCCTCTTCAAATTGTTTCGTCTTTTAGCCATAGCTCTTTTTTTTTAATTTAATGTTTGTTTTGAGAGAGAGAGAGAGAGAGAGAGAGACAGTATGAGCAGGGGAGGGGCCGAGAGAGGGAGACACAGAATTTGAAGCAGGTTCCAGGCTCCGAGCTGTCAGCACAGAGCCCCACGTGGGGCTGGAACTCACAGCTGCGAGATCATGACCTGAGCCGAAGTCAGACGTTCAACTGACTGAGCCACCCAGGCGCCCCTAGCCATAGTTCTCTTGAACGAAGTGGGCGGCTGAACCTGTCGGCCGCTCGCTTTCCTGCATACGCACACATGTAGGAGAGGGAAGGGGGCTGGCTCCAGCCCGGGAGGCCACCCTGCCCCCTGCCGCTCCTCTGGTCCTCTTCTTGGACCTGTTCCTCCATTTGGACCCTCTTTGGAGAGGGCGCTGTGTCCCCTCCCGCCTGGCCTGCGCACCCGTCCTTGGCACCTTGTGCTGCACTCTGTCACCACGTGTCCGCATACTCACGGTACCCCTTTGCCCTGCTGGGGTACTCACCTCGCTGAGCACGGATGGTCCTCAGGGCCAGCGTGAGCTCACATTTGGGTGTTCCTGGGATTCCCTTCCCTTTCTCTTCAGGGAGCACTGTTGTCCTAGGCCCCTCACCTCTATGGCTTTTCCCTCCCACCCCGTAGCAGGCTGAGCAGCGCATCTTGTCCCGGGTACACTCTCTGGAGCGACGCCTAGAAGCTCTCGCTGCCGAATTTTCCTCCAACTGGCAGAAGGAGGCTGTGCGGCTGGAACGTCTGGAGCTGCGACAAGGGGCTGCTGGTGGGGGAGGCCACGTAGGCCTGAGCCACGAGGACACCCTGGCACTTCTAGAAGGGCTGGTGAGCCGCCGCGAGGCTGCCCTGAAGGAGGACTTCCGTAGGGACACCGCCGCTCGGATCCAGGTCTCTGAGCGTGAGCAGAGTGGCGTGTGGGTGACACCGTGGGTGTGTGGGGTGGAGGGGTGAGGCCCTGCACACCCTGACACGAGAGGGACAGCCGTGTCACTTGGCAGTCACTCACCTTCTCTAAGCCTTCGTTCCTTCCTCTAAAATGGAGACCCTCAGGTTTCCCCGTGCACTCCCAACCCCGACTGTGGAAACAGGAGACCACAGAGTGCCTGGCACAGTAGGGGTGCAGCAGAGATCAAGGGGGTCTTGCGTGTTTGAGAAGCACTTGTGGCACAAAGGCCAGGAGCCGAAGTCTGCAGGCAGACGGGCCTGGTTCAGTCTCCAGTTCTGCCACTTACTGGTGGTTGTAAGTTCCCTCTGCACGTAACTCAGTAAAATCCTCAAGACGCTCCCCTGTGTCTGACAGGAAGAGCTGGTCACCCTGAGAGCAGAACATCAACAAGACTCAGAAGACCTCTTCAAGAAAATTGTCCAGGCCTCCCAGGTTGGTGGACTCAGGGGCACCTGGGGCCTCCCCAGTGGGGCCCTGATCTATAGTTCAACATCTGCTCTTGGGCTGAGGCAGCTTGGTTCTCCCAAAGGGTGCTTAGATACTAGATGGGGTGGGGGTGTCATCTCCTGACTTCTGCTGGAGCTGAACCCACGTGCACAGGAATGCTTTGCAGGGATGCCCGGGGGTGTGTTTGAGGAAGGGTCGCTTTCAAGAGGCCTGTTGTGCTGGGTATAAGATGCTGAATGAATGAGGGAATGTATGCATGCCCAAGCATGCGGATGGAGCAAGCCTCTCATGAGGACCTAGGCCAGGAGGTGGTTAATGTTTGCTGGAGCAGTCAGGAGAGCCTGGGGCAGGGCTCTGCTGGAGCAGAGACTCCAGACAGAATAGATCCTGCTCTGGGAGACTGACTGCTCTGAGCCTGGCATATGTTGTATTTCTGCCTTCTTCCTGCTTACAGGAGTCTGAGGCTCGACTCCAGGAGCTGAAGTCCGAGTGGCAAAGGTAATGGGCACTGCCATCCGGCCTAGGCCTGCTCTACCCCCGACCTCTCCACCCCACACCCTGGCAGGCCTGGGGCACAGAGCCCCGGAGCAGAGTTCTGATTGCGTTCTGAACAGAGAGGGGATGGCTGAAAACTAGCTCAGGAACATCTGAAGGGCAAGAGCGGTTGAGTGGGGGAGGGGGCACCGCAAGAGAACTGGGATTTGTGGGTTCACTCGTAGACCCGCTACCTTTTCTGTACACACTCATGCAGGCTGCCTTCCGTGCCCCAGACATCCACCCGTGTGGAGGATGGAGAGGCCGAGGCAGAGTGAATTATGGCTCTGGTCTTAGGAAGGGGACAGGATAAGAATTCGCTCGTTGGGATCGGCAAGCCAATTCGAAGGCACTGGGGCTGTGTTCTACAGCCAGGGTCCCTAGGTGGAGGCCTTGCATTCGTGTGCAGGTGCTGGGCACTCACTTCTGTCGGGAGCCAACTAGGGGATCCCCTTGTGTTCCTCGGCGTGGCCTCACACCTCACCAGAGATCCAAGGCTTACTCTTTTCTCCTCTCCTTGGGAGTAGGATGACCCAAGAGTCCTTCCGAGAGAACTCCATGAAGGAGCTGGGGCAACTGGAGGGCCAGCTGGCAGGCTTGCGGCAGGAGCTGGCGGCCCTGAGCCTGAAGCAGAGCTCGGTGGCAGACCAAGTGGGCCTCTTGCCCCAGCAGCTGCAGGCGGTGAGGGATGACGTAAGTTGGAACCATCCAAGTCCCCTGCCGAACACCGTGTCCTCTGAGAGTGTCTGTTCTATGAGTCTGTACGGCAAAGAGCCTTTTGCCCTGGTGGCCTGCTAGTCCCCTGAGTCTGGACTTGGCCCAGACGTTGGCTTTCGTAGACCGTTCTTCCTGTTTTGTTATCAGTAACACGGAGAGTTGGTTGTAACGCTTTCCTTCAGGTGGACTAGCGGGGTGTGCTTGGCCCCTCCCTTCCCGGCTTGTGTTCTCTTCCCGCCCCCTCCACTCCAGCCAGGAGCCACCACAGCAGCACTGTCCCTGTGAGCCTCTAAAAGACCTTCCTTCTGTTGCCAGGTGGAGTCCCGGTTCCCTGCCTGGATCAGTCAGTTCCTTCTGCACGGCGGGGGGACCCGCAACGGGCTCCTTCAGCAGGAAGACATGCAAGTTCAGCTGCGGGAGCTGGAGGGCAGGATCCTCGCCCACGTGGCCGAGATGCGGGGCGAGTCGGCGAGGGAGGCCGCCGCCAGCCTGGGGCTGACGCTGCAGAGGGAAGGCGTGATCGGGGTGACAGAGGAGGTGAGGACCGTGGGGCCCCGGGAACAACCCCCACCCTCACCCCCTCATCCAGCGCCCTCCTCCCTGGGAGTCCTAGACCCGCGCAGTCGCACACTGCCAGCTTCCCGGTACGTCCCAAGACCACGTGCGGGAGGCTCCGGTGCTTGCTTTGGGACTGGTGGGGGGGGGGGTGCATCTAGGTTAAGTGGCACGTGTGGCTGGACACCAGTGTGTGGTGCAGGATAGGAGGGGGCCGGTCCGTGGGTCCCTCGCCCCCAGTAGTGGGGGCTCAAGGGTGGACGAGTCTGCTGCTCGTGGCAGCTGCCTCGGATGCCTGTTTTAGCAGGTGCAGCGCATCGTAAACCAGGCCCTGAAGCGCTACAGTGAGGACCGCATCGGGATGGTGGACTACGCTCTGGAATCAGGAGGTCTGTGTGTGCGCTCTCCCCACTTTGCAGAGCCTGGTCCCGTGCTGGCCGCCCCCCCCCCCCCCCCCCGGCATCTGCCGGGCAGCCGTGGTGCTAGGCGGGCAGGGCTCGAGATGGGCAGAAATCACAACAAAGGCAAGCGAAGAAACTTGGAGCAGTCTGGATGAACTGAATACCATCCTTGGCCAGGGAAACTGATGCTCACAGCTGTAGTTGGGGTGAGGTTGAAGACGGCCTGGGGCATCTGCCCTCCCACCTTGAGAGAGGACATGGCCATAGGGGTCCCCTCTCGAGTTCCCTGGGCTGGTGAGCAGCACAGGTGTCAGCGCCTCCCTCCCTCCCCTGCTGGGGTCCAGCTTTAGGTGCCCACACTGCCTGTCTTTCCTGTCTCAGGGGCGAGTGTTATCAGCACCCGATGTTCTGAGACCTATGAGACCAAGACGGCCCTCCTCAGTCTCTTCGGCATCCCCCTGTGGTACCACTCCCAGTCGCCCCGAGTCATTCTCCAGGTAGGTACCCATGAGGGCAGCAGCAGGGGCCCTGAGCAGGTCGCCCGCATAGCTGGGTGACTCCCGTCCTGAGCCAGCAAAAGCCGTGCTCAGGGTGGGCCGTGTTTGTCACCCGCCCCGTGCTGATGGGACTTCCTTTCCTCCTCGTCCCCTCAGCCAGATGTGCACCCAGGCAACTGCTGGGCCTTCCAGGGGCCCCAGGGCTTTGCTGTGGTTCGCCTTTCTGCCCGCATCCGCCCCACTGCTGTCACCTTAGAGCATGTCCCCAAGTCCTTGTCCCCCAACAGCACCATCTCCAGTGCCCCCAAGGACTTTGCCATCTTTGTGAGTATTCTACCTTTGGGGGCTCAGAGGGGCTACGGGACCGTGAGTCTTTACTAAGGATAGAGCCAGGACCGTTATTTGGGAGGAAGGGGGCAGATCTGGAAGGGATAGCCCCAGCCTGGGAAATGGTAGCTTAGGCTGCGCTGGAATAACCCACGTCCAGTGCTCAGGCCCCTGTAGTCCTACCAAGGCTGGCGCTGATCTGCTCGGGGGCGGGGGACCCAGTGTGGGAACAGGAAGGGAGAGCATTCTTCCCCGGGTGACTGGGGCACTTGTCCCCGGGGATGGATCTTCCCTCCATCCTTTGTTCTCTTTTCAGGGATTTGATGAAGATGCGCAGCAAGAGGGGACACTTCTTGGCCAGTTCACCTACGACCAGGATGGGGAGCCCATTCAGACCTTTTATTTTCAGGTATGGGACTCCGCTGTGCCAGCGGAATGGTATATTCAGCTTCCTATCCGTTCGGCAGATGGTTTCCAAGCACTTACTCCGTGTCAGGCACCGCGGGCTCAGGTCAAGAATAGGCACAGCCCCTGCCTCCCCACAGTTCGAGGCAGGGAACGGGGACAGCTGTCCAAGTGGCACAGGAGAGGCACCACATAGACATCCACACAGAGGGGCCCATCCCGGACGGGGAGCCAGGGGCAGTCGTCAGAGGGTGTTCCTCCTAGGCCTCAGGCAGTGCCGCACAGCTAGGGCTCTGAGGGAGACTTCTGGCCTCAATCTGAACGGGCATCAGTCTCCCAGGGCCTTGTTAGAAATGCAGATTGCCAGTCTCCACCCCAGGAGCTAGGCTCCCAGATCCCGGCAGCCCCAAGAAATCAATGTTCTGACAGCCCAGATGAATGCTGTGCCGGGGGCTTGAGAGCTACACTAGGGGTGAAGAACTGGGTGAGGTGGCAAAGGGACGGTGGTGGGAAGGGAGGCCGGAGAGGGGCAGGCCTGGCTACCAGGCCAAAGAGTTCTGGCCCTCGGGGCTGGGGTGGGCACTGCCACGTTTTAGGCAGAGAAGTGACAAGACTGTGCACTGTAGTCAGATCATGTGACCGTGTGAACGGTGCATCCAGGGGACGAGACCGGTCAGGAAGTGGCTGCGGAGAGTGTCGGGAGTGAGGATGGAGTGGAGGTAGATACACAGTTGCAAGTGTCAGACTGGACAGAAGTGGAGAACGTGGAGGGGAGGACTGTCCCAGGTGCCAAGAGGCAGGCTAATGCAGGAGTGGGTTTGGCCACCAAGTCTGAGGCACCTGTGGGCCAGTCCCATGCAGCCACCAGGGGACCAAAGACTGAGCCATGGGAGTGCCTGGGACGTCTGGGGGATGTGTGCTGACCGAGCCTTTCGGAGACAGTAGAGGAAAAGCGGCTGTGCGGAAGGCCAGAGGACGGGAAGGGAACGGGAAAGCGCTGTGTCTGTTGGCGTCGGACTGGGGGCCATTTGCTCCGAAAGCTCAAAAATCGTGGCTTTTGGAGCAAAGAGGACAGAGGCCTGCTAAGAACTTGAGGAAGAAAACTCTGCCTAATTCAGAGTAAAAGGATTCTTTTCCACCGTCAACATAGATCCTCCGTGACAGTGATTGTGTCCCTTGACCATGATAAAGAGCTCCTGTGAATCTGTCTGGAATGAATCTGGCTGGTCCTCAGCTACAAGGCCATTTTTATGTGGCTGTGGGTCATGGCCCCTAGAGGACCTCTGAAGCCCCTGGGACTCCTTGGCCCACAAGCTGGAAACTCTGCTCCACGATCTGAAGACAGGAGCTCTGCAGTCCAGTTCGCTGTGGAGGCCTACGGGAGGGGTGGGGGAGGGGGGCATCGGACCCTGGGGGTGGCTGTCCCCCTCTCTGCCCTCCTGTCAGCGAGGTCTGAGGGCTTGGGACACTCTTAACACCTTCTTTCTCTACCCAGGACACTAAAATGGCCACATACCAGGTGGTGGAGCTTCGGATCTTGACTAACTGGGGCCACCCCGAGTACACCTGCATCTACCGCTTCCGGGTGCATGGGGAACCCACCCACTAGGCCTTCTCTGTGCTGCTGCCAGCCAGCTGGGAGGCCAGCCCCTCCCAGCACGTGTCCCCTTCTCTGGGAGTGGGAGAGCAGCACCCCTGCCCCTTCCCCACATGCTTGACCAGCGCACTGACTTCCAGGAGCAAGAACCGCTGGCCCGATGGAGACAAGAAAGAATATGCAGGGCTTTCCTAGCGCGGGGCAGCTCGAGGTAGACAGCACGTTCCAGCGTCCCTTTTTGTGACCTCCTTGTGCCAGGCACTGGGTGTCTACTTCCCCCTCTTGGGAGGGTGTATATATGTAGCATATCATGGGGTGATCGTGAGGCAGGGGGAGAGGCAGTGAGTGGACCTATGTCGTCCCAGCAGAGGTGGGTGAAACCTGTCTGCCCCTTACCCAGGATGGGGGGCTGGCACCCAAGGAGCTGCGGTTGGTAGGCGTGTGAATGAAGCAGGTGCCAAAGCCATGGGTGGGACAAGCAAGGGCCTGGGGCAGGTGAGCTGCCCCTATCACCAGGCAGGGAAGTGACGTCCTCTAGGAGGAAGGTGCTCACAGTGCAGGCTGGGGCTGAGCCCCAGGCAGGAAGCTGCTTGTGCAGGGCAGCCGGGCTCTTCCAGAAATCTAGTGCCATCAACCTATGGAGCTTGACCCCCTAACGTCCCCCAAAGGCCTCTCTATACACTGTATGTGTTCTGGGTCAGAGTGGGCCACAGGGCTTCTCATACCCTTGAGGGTCAGGCTCCTAGGAGCCTCTAAGGGAGGCTGCCTCTCTGGCTCTGAGGGGTCAGGGGGGCAGCCAGTAGGATTCCCCCTCTGCTGGGGTTAGTGCTTTCTCTCTCCCCTGATGTTGGGACCGAGGCCCACTCTGCTCCCCATTCCTGCTAGGGCATGCCTGTGCCCCAGAGCAAGCTTGCCACATTCCCCCAAGGTGCAGGGAGCCCAGACCTGCCTTTTGAGGCCATAAGCAGCTGGGGTAAGCTTAAAAGGGTGGGGAGCAGCATACTCCCCAGACTCTCGGGATGGTCCAATGAGAATGATGGTGACATTCAGGGTGTCGTGGTGGGAAGAGGCCTGTCCGCACTGTGGGCCTTGTCCCACCCCCACCTGACTGTAAGGGGCTCAGCTACTCCCTTGAGACTCTCAGCTCTTGCTCAGATTGTTTCCTTTCTGGCTCGTTTTCTAGGGGGGGTGGGGTGCTGTCAGGGGT